CTCAAAGCGTCGCTATCAAGCTGACGGATACACGGGAGGTATTTGCTATTGATACGTGCGGCAGTAATCTCGTATTCCATGCAAGTGCCAAGATGTCCAACTTGCTTCGCACTAGCCGGCACGGCGGCCGAGCGTAGAGCCCACGCTCTGCCCATGTGGCAGGAGCAACTCGCCATGCATCAATCTGTAAATCTATTGCCGTGCTTGCTCAGCGACATCGTCGGGCTGGAGAACACCGTGAGCCAAACGTGACTGCTTGAGCTGTGTATGATGGGAGGAGGAAGAGATGTGTCGGTGCGGTGGCTGTACTCTGCAGGGTGTTATTGAACACAGTGATTCCATATTGTTGTAGCAGTCCTTCTTGGTGGGGGAGAGAGAGAGAGGATCTAAAGGAACGACTGTCTTCCGCAGAACTAGAGTGCTGGTTTACGAGCCTATGTTGTGACCGTGTCCTGCAACAAGTACTCGATAGGTCATAATCCATAGCGCACGAGTGGCCTCGAGCGTATACTTATGAATCGGCAGATCGAGAATGTATCGTCTCCATATGATGCCCTGAACGCGATTGTCTGCGCGCGCGGGGGCATAAATAAACGAGCAGCGCCTGAGTGCATATGCCAAACGAGTACGCGGCGGGAGTGTGAGCACACAGGATGTCTGAAACAAGTCAGACTGAGAAGGCAGATGGAACACAAGTCGCAAACGGAGGTACAAACGGAACATCAACCGCAGACAGCATGTCATGTCCGAACGAATCGTTCCCAAACGGCCTGCAACCACAAAATATCAGCTGCAGCTCCTGTACCCGCACGCTACATGACGCACATACCGCCGACTATCTGGTTCAGATGAGCAGCACCACCTTCTTTGCCAGTGCGCCCATCCGAGGAGGCTCCCATCCCGATCTACGTAGTACATGGCGCCCGAACCCAGTATCCTCCAGTGCCTTGCGTGGTACCATCATCAGCACCACCGACGCGACATGGCGGAATTGCTGCGGTAACTGCGAAGTACTGCTCTCGGACGCTCTTTGGGATACCTCGGAGTCTGCATCGCCATAATCATCATCGCCTGCAGGTGCGCGAGAAGCCCTGCATACCGCGGCACAATGAACTATTTGGCCAGGCCCCGGGAGTGCGCCGTCCACAAATAGCAGGGTGTCGAAGGTGATGAAGTGCGAGCCCCTCTCTTCCACGCCGGCGTGGACCCTCGTGCCTATGTACCATTCGTCCGAGTCCTCGTCGCGAACGACTAGCTGTTCCGTCAAGGACGGGGGCGAGCCCACCTTGTTATGTCCGAACAACCGGATGTCCAGCGTACACGGCTCTCGCAACGGCGCAACAAAGTACTTGGCGAGGAGGCCCGCAGCGGTACAAATGCCGGTCGGCGACCCCTTGGTCTGGTACACAGCGTGGGGCCCATCGGTCAGAAACCCATCGGAGTCAACCATTGTGAGCGAACGAGGTGCCCACGAGAACCCGGGAAGCTCGAGGCGCGGGGCTTCAAGTACCGCAAGTGCTGTCGGTACGTGCTTAAGTTGAATAAAGAAGTCCTTCATCCGTCGCTCGGCGGCGTCCGGGCCAGTGATGGCGAGGAGTGCGCCGAGATCGAGCGCAAGCATACCGGAGATTGCGATGGTCTCGTCCTCGGCCTTCGTGGTGCTGCGGAGACTGAGGAGGCTGATCAGCCTGAGCTTGTGTGTGTCGAGCTTCAGGCTGCCGCTAGGCCTCCATGCATCGTGCGTTACGCGAAACCACAGGAAGGGCAAGTGAGAGAGGCACCATATGTAGATGCCGGCTTCCTTGGGGGCCCATGAGTCCGAGGTATCTTTATTAGATAACCATGGTCTGTAGGCATCTTCTCCGGGACCGGGTTTCCTGATACCAGCTTTCGCCTCGACGTTCACCGGACCTTCCTGAAACTCAAAGTAGAGTTGACGGGCCAAGATACCTTCCTGCAGCGTCCACACGCGTCGGATCCATCCAGACGTCGCGATCCGGAACAGGTTATCCTCCCATGTCTTCTTCTCCGAGCACTCCGCGCGGATACACTCGTCGATGACAAGCACCTTTGCGGCGTCGCGGTACGTGCGCTCCATGAGCTGGATCGCGCGTTTCCGCACGCCACGGTCGTCCGGTATGCACAGCGAGTCCATCCAGAAAGCGCCTGTCTCAGGATGGAGGTCTTGCACGAGCGATGCGATCCGCCGCACCACGCAGGTAGGCAGGCCGTCCTCGGTGGTGCTCCCCATCCCGTCCGCCCACACGTGAGAGATTGCGACGTATGAGCTCTCCGCAGCGGGTCGGACACGAAGAAGTGCTCCATCGTAGACCATCACAGGTACGACTCCGTCGCGGAGCATCTTCGTGACCTCTTCGATTAGGGGACGGATAAATTCGCAGTGGCAAGTAGGGCTGACGTGGCGTGGGACATACTCGTCGGTGTTCTCGAACGTGTAAAAGACGCACGACCAGGGTGTGCAATGCTCGTGCTCGGTGGTCGACGACCTGATGTATGGGGGAAGCTGCACCAGATTTGACAGCATCACGTAGTTCATGAACTTGCCTGAGAGGTGGTTATTGATGGTATTGCTGCACCATCCCGCCCGCTCCATTCTATGGTGGCACGAGCGAACGATAGCGGCGTGGAAGTGCCGGAGCCCGGATTGCGTCTTCAGGTCCCCCGATAGGTCTCGCAAATCCTGCCACTGCGCACTAGCGTTGCCGGCGAGACCGCAGAGGGATAAGACGGTAAAGGCGATTGCGCATACCACGTCGTCCGTGTCCTCCTCGGCACATCCTGCGCTGAGGAGCCGACTGCCTATATGCCACACGGCTTCTTCGTCGAGCGCGCTGAGGGCTCTTCTGACGAGTTCGACTATTTGGCGTCCATGCTCGAAATGACCTTCGGGGAAGTTGTCGTCGCGGTATTGGGAGAGATAGAAATGCATCAGAAAGCGATGGATACGAGAACCGGACAGGACTTGCTCTCCTTCACGAGGTCCGGGGACGACGAACATGGATTCGGGAATCCGCGTGCGCGTCGCAGCTTCCAGGAAACCGAACGTCAGAGCGCTCACCCAGAGCGCAGCATCGTCGCGCCTGCTGTGACATGCGCCCGGCGGCTGACGGATTCGCGTGTAGCTGGACATTGTGCTGCAGTAGGGAAACCCGTCGTGGGCGGCTCCGTACCAGGGAATATCGATGATTGTCCCGAAAAGCGAGCGCAGCATTGCGCCGTCGTAGTCCTCATCCCTGGGCATATCGTCATCAGTAAGCAAGGGGGTGGTGTATGGGAGTGAATCTGAAAGGTGCGTCACTACAGCTCGGAACAGGTGCCGAGAGGCGTACTAGGGAGCACTGACCTGATGGGCTAGCTTGCATCCTAGATAGTTCGATTTGTGCGTCGCGAGACCATGGCATAGGGTATGAATGCTGAATGGTCCTCCTGCGACTTTCAATCAGCCAGACTAGGATAGTGAGGTCCAAGAACTGTGCATGGCATAGGTGGGATGTTCGTGCGTCTCCCGGAGATGCCCGAATTGTGCAAGTGAAGTGTTTGCAGATATGCACATGGTTTCGAACCGTCAGTACTCCAAACGCGATGAAGTTGAGGACAGAGTCTGGCCCTGCGGGTAGAAAAGCCTCGGTAGAAAGCTGGTCGATATCAGAGAACTTGTCCATGAGGAGGTTGATGAGAGTGCCAAACGATTGACAATGCCGGAGGGCATCCTTGACTGGGCCGTTCCAAACGACGTCCGTCCACATTGCCACCGACGTCGCGCATGGACAGGTAAGGTAGTCCGGGTGAGGATTGGTACGCACATGCTGTAGGACCTCATGGTAGAAGTGATAGTGCATGTCGGAGTCGTCTACGACGATGTCCATGGACGACGTATCGGGTAAGAGTGGCTCCCAAGACAAGTGAACGCGATTAGGAGCCTCGGAAGAAGGCTGATTCAAGGCATCGTCCAATCGAGAGGGAGGATGGGATGATTTCGTCATGCCGGGTACTCTGCTTGGCGCGTCTCTGTGATGCGTATGAGAGGTAGAGGAAACTAGAGGCTTCTGGGAGACACTAGACTGTCGTCAATGAGTTGTTCATCGGATCCTATCGTAAGCAATGATATATCTCACAGCACGTTTCCGCATTGGCGCATTCGCACGCAGAACACCTCATGCGAGATTGTTCACACGTCCAAATTTCTAGGTTATAAAATCCTACGGTGTAAGTCATCTGAGCGTCAAGATGAACACAACCACTAGGGACCAGTGCGGGACGTTCTCCGGGTACCAGGGTGCCATTCTTGAGTCGTGATAGTTTTACAGCTGCTCGACACGATCTACAAGGCGTATTGTGAGTATTCAGTACTTACTTAGTCCGATTATCGCCGTACTCGCTTTGATGTCACGCTCGGAAGTATGAGAGGTGAGGATACGACTACTTGAGATGCGTATGGTTCACGTGTATGGCGGTAGGAGGAAGAGGTATGAGTGCGGTGGCTGTACTCCGACCAGAGGCTGGTGTACATCCGTTTTGGGAAGTGCACGCGGCTTTGCGGCGCAGGAACCACGACAGCCTTGAGCAATCACCACGATATATACATCTCGTACGGTTTCCCCTAGTCGCTCACTGGGCGACGTCACAATGCTAGTCCCGTCATATTATTTGAAGGCGGGCTTGCATCGCGTTCACCTATCCTAGGCGCTGCCCCATCACAGCCGCATTCAGGCGGCATCGCGACGCTCCGCCGTACTAATCATACGCGTCACTAGCGGCCAACACTCACTGAAGTGCGCTTTCTATGTGAGTCAAATGGTACATATATGATACAACGGCAAAGACGCGGAGACCGAAGATGAGATCCAAAACGAAGCGAGGGGTGTGTAACTTGAATAGCTGCGACTCGGAATCAGCGAGCGGAAAGCGTCGATGCGAAGAGACGGAGGGAGGGCGAGAGAAATAGAATTGTGTGAAGAATCAGAGAGACGAGTCATGAGGCAGCATAGGTTGAACGGAAGGGGATGGTCGGCGGCTTAGAGGAACGAGGGCGGAATGGAGAATATATGACGATGAGATCAAGGGGGCGTGCAAAGTAGAAGGAATAGGGAGCCGCAAATCAAAATGAGAGCTGTGTAGCAGAGAAAGTCCTCATGTGCCGTGAAAAGGCCGTGATGCGTACCATGCGGCGCCTAGGGGAGATCGGACAATCTGCGCAGCTTCCTCCACCACACCTCGGCAACCCATCTATCGAAAACCGGAAACCGATGATAGACACCCGGCCAGTGGACGGCCGCCACGAGCTACCAGGGATTATATGCACGAGCTAGGTCCCGCCGGGGGACCCGCACCAAGACTGAGGGCGAAGCTTGAACCGGCCAGTAGAGCGCGATCATGAGTATGTAGGGTCGTGTGGTATGCCGCAGTGAGGGCTCGCGTCGGATCTGAATGTAAAACTAGTATCAGTATAGAGGCTGTACTATGACACGACCATATACATACTGTGCTGATCGTGCCGGCATGAACTCACACCAGTTGCACCCGGCTGTGGTATATTTCCTTGACGTAAGCCTCGACACGCGGAGACATATATGGGCTCGGGATGCTAGTGGTCTCATTCCTATCTTGCGACACCATCGACGTCGCTGGGTTCAGTGCGAGGCAGCCGGGGGCAATGCATCGAAAACGCCGCGTCAGTTGCCGATCAGCGCTCTCAGGTCCGTCCTGGGTGGCGTCCTTCAAGTTCGTACTTTGAGTGTTTGCACCTTGAACAAGGATGCATGCAGCGGGTATCGCCGTCTCCGGAAGGCCTGCCTGCAGTAGAAGCAGAGCATCGCAGAACTCGGCAGGACCATTGTTCGCAGCGAGGCAGATTCTCATGGCATACGCCTTCAATGGCTGGCCGCGACGGTAGAGGAACGCAAGGCTGTAATTTGCCGACGGCGATGTGCTTGATTTTCGGGGCGGCACGGGGATGGGCTGTTCGAACGATAGTACCGCAAACTCCGCCAGGAAGCATTCCTCCGTACAAAGTCCTGTCCCAGTGTTAACAGCACCTATTACCATTGTCAGAGAACGCGGCGCCCACGAGAATCCTGGGAGGTCGAGCCGATTTGACGTTTCCATCACAAGACTTCTTGGTATTGTCCGCAACCGTAGGAGGCACTCCTGCATCCGTCGCTGTGCTGCGTCTGGGCCGTTGATTTCTAGGAGGGCCTCAATGTCGAGCGGTAGCAGACCAGCGATTGCGACGGTTTCGTCCTCCGCTTTACTGGTTCTACGCATGGCCAGCAGCGCAATGACTTCATCGAGGGGTACATCCCGGAACACTCTCGAGCTTTGCCAGGATTTCGCGCGGAAGCCGAGCAGAGGGGCGTATGAGCCACACAACCCGCGGCCGGAACGCTGCACTGATAGCTGAGGTGATATCGAAGGTGTGCACGCCGCCGCCATTGGATGTACTGGGGGTGTTCCCAAGAGGAATGGTCGGTGTTTCTTGATATCGAACGTTTCCTCGATGTCAACTGGGCCGTGCTTGAACTCGAAGTACAGTTCGCGCGCCAAAAGGCCTTCCTGCAGCGTCCAGATGCGTCGGGACCACCCGCTTGTGCAGATACGAAACAAGGCATCCTGCCACGTAACTCCAGGGCCACATAGGGAGCGAATGCCCTCGTCGATCACCAGTACCTTCGCCGCATCACGGTACGTCTGCGCCATGAGCTTGATAGCGTGCCTCCGCAAGTCCGCGCGACCGCCCGGAACACAAAGCGAGTCCATCTAGAACGCGCCTGTCTGAGGGAGAAGTTCTCGAGCGAGGTGTGAGATCCGCTCCACCACACAGGTTGGCAGGCCTTTTCCGTCAGCCCACACGTGCGATATTGCGACATATGAGTTATCGTGCGCTGGTAGGACCTGCAGCTTCCCTCCTTCATATATGACAACAGGAACGACGCCCTTGGAAAGCAGCCCGGTGATGTCGGCGAGTGGTGGTTGAATGTAGACGCAGTGTCAGGAGGAATCGACGTGGCGCGGGACGTATGAGGCGGTATCAGTGATGGTCAGGACAGTACACAATGACTCGGTGCAGGCGCTGTGTTCGTCGATAGATGTCCTGATATAAGGCGGAAGCCGGACGAGACTCAGCGCAATTTGGAGAACCAAGAAGCGTTGCTGGATCGTGTTTTGACGCCACCCTGCCTGGTACATCCTCCTTTGGCAGGATCGGAGAGCGGCGGAGTAGAAGCGTCGGTGGCTGATTCGTGCACCGAAGAGAGGACCCCTCAGTCGTGCCTTGTTCGACTCCGAGTCGGATCCCCATTTGCGGCAGGCGCTGACGCTAAGCGAATGCGACTTCCATGGGGACGGGAGACCCACGATCAGCAGGCAACATAACCTGCTAGGCCTATGTGAATCCAGTCAACGTAGGTCGCACTACGCGGAAGAAGTTACTTGCCTGAATGCTGGATCGACGCCGTGCTTGCTCTAATTTATCGAGCTCAAGAAGTTGTGACTGCCTGAGGTGCCTATGGTGATAGAAGGAAGAAGTGTGTCAACGCGGTAGCTACACTCGCCGCGACCAGCTCGTATTCGCCCAATTTTGTATGAACGTGGAGTGAAAGTGAGTACTGGCGCAGCCGGGACCCACAGTTCTGCAATTCATTGTCAAAGTAGCCTGCTGATTTCGTCTATCAAAGTGTTGTCATGTCATAATGAAGGAATTGTCAAGCATGCACTCGCACCTGTCGAGCTCACGTGTTACGTCTGAGGACAGGAAGACCTCGCTTCATGCACGACGGAGGTATCTGGTGTAACCAGTCGCAGAACGAGGCGCATGAGATATCCGAACGCTCAAAAGCACATACATGCCCCACGTGCCCGAAAAGAAGAGAGCAGAGAACGAAGCCTTAATCGCAGAAACACAACAGACAGCTCAGTCGAGAGATAGTTCTACAGCTCCAGTATAGCACACCTACATCCGCCCGTGCGCGACGTCCCCTCTACTTCTTCTCAGCGTACAGCGTCAGCGCACGTTCCAGCGTGTCCGCGTCCAGCCCGCGCAGCTTCAGCATCTTCTGGAAGACCTTCTTGTCGAGCGGGTACTGCACCTTCGACGCCAGGTGCTGCCCCGCGACGAGCGACTTCACCACGCCGCTGATCAACCGCTGCTTGTGCACGTTGATCAGCGGCTCGAGCTGCATCGACGGCGGCAGCGGCGCGAGCGTCGAGAACACCTCGGGGTGCGCGGGCGTCTCGAACGAGTTCGTGAGCGGGTCGATCTTAACCTCCACGAGCGGCGCGGTCGGGTCGATCAGATCGGGTAGACTGCTGTGATGATGTACTTGCGCCAAATACACTCCTGCATTGGTCGTCAGTATGTACATAGAGCAACGAGTCCGATACAATGCACGCACCGATAAAGGGTATACACGCTGGGGGCGTCGGCGGTTTGCTGTCAGACGCGGCGCGACTGCGCGACCCATTCGTTTGTCCATCCGGGCTCTTCGCTGTCGCGTCCTGCGCGCCTGGCGGCATCGACTTTGCTTCCGCGAGCGAGTCCACCGTCTGGCGTATGTGCTTGAAGTCGCCCACGGGGGACGTCCAGTCCGTGAGGTCGCGCAGCATGCGGCTCTCCCATGCGCCGACCTTGTTGAACGCCTGCTGCTTGGCCTTTGCGACCCACTCGCTGTGCAGACCTGCGATGATCGCGACGAGCGCGTTGAAGTTCTTCAGACAGTACGCTTTCTGCAAAATGAACGGGAACAGTTAGTATTTGTAGAGTGAAATGGACTTATATGTACGTACCCAGGCGAGCCGGATGAACTTGTTGATGACCATCGCCCGCTCACTCGGATGTGTGAGCACGATCTCAGATGTGACGAAGTTCGCGAGGAGGTTGAACCGTCCCCGCACCGCGGTCAACGCGCTTGTCTTCGAGCCGCCCCGACCCTCCGCCGTCAGCCTCGCGCGGTCGCGCAAGAACTGTGCCCAGTCCAGCACGTTCGCATCTTCCGCAGATCCTATCGCGTGTGATGTGATCAGCTCCTGGAAGCTAATGTTCAGGAAGAGCTCGCGGTCGATCATCGACAGATGTTGTATCAACGTTTCTGAACGGTAGTTCAAAACGAATGAATGATGCCGTCGAAGCATTGTTGGCATGCTCGGGGGAGGGGGGAGGCCCGCAGATGGTTGGGGTGTGAGCGCGTCCTTGGATGAAGGGCCGCCAGAAGTCGACGGGCGGGAAGGGACGCGACTTTGTAGGATCTCGAGGGGTACGGCGTCCTCAACGTGCGGTTTAGCGTCACTGACGGGAGTCAATGCACCGTTATCACAGAACCCGTCGCTGTGTGCAGGAGGAGTCTGCAACATGTCGAGTGCTAGTGGGCCGAGCCTCTCCGATACAGCAGGGGGTACTGATGGATCTGTAGACGCTGATGCCGAAGCTGAAGCTGAGGCCGAGGCCGAGGCGCTTGCACTCGCACTCGCACTCGCACTCGCACTCGTACTAGCGTCAGTAGACGCAGGCTGCGAGATGGATGCGAACGAGCTGCGCGAGCTGAGCTGAGGGGAAGCCGCCGACAAGCCTGCAGAGATATTGATAGCAGATTCACCCGAGAACCTCCTGCGTTCGACCTGGCCGTAATCCTCATCCGAGCCCGACGCGTCCGCGTCCGCGTCCTCCTCGCCCACAGACTCGCGGGACGAAAACAGCGCGCCGCCACGGCGTTGCTGTATGGACTGGATCCACTGGTCGACCTTGCTCTGCTTCGCGCGCTGCTGGTCCTGGTTGATCTGACCTTCGAGGCGCCGTAGCGCTGCCTCGACATCTCCAGTCTCGTCGTCGTCGCTGAGCGAGTCGATGATCGCGTTGATGTGCCATGCCTGGATAGGGCCTCCCCCGTCTTCACCGCCACCGTTCGAGACGACCTCGGATGACGAGGATATGATCGAAGAAGTGTCCTGCGAGAACATGGACTCGCGCGTGCGGATCCCCATCGAAGACACGCTGTCCATCGACTGCCGCACAAACTCGAAGTCGCGTCGTGTGGGTAGCCGTCGCGTCGCCTTCTTCAACCCAAGGCCGGGCGGGGCAACCACCTCCAGGTGCTCGTCAGAGGAGAGGTCGGAGAGGTCCAGGTCGTCAATCGAGACGACGTCAAGCTCATGTGTCTTCGGCAACATGGGCTCGCGGGTTGTGGTGCTCTGAAGCGATGCAGTGTCCTCTGAATTGTAAGAAGAGGTGGATGGGCGGGGTTGGGCTTCGGCAACGCTCTCTTCGTAGTCCGGAGGAGAGGGGAAGTAGCTCTCTGCTGGTGCGTCTTCTGAGTTGTTAGCCGGAGGAACGTCATCCCGAGGCCCAGGAGCGGCCGTCTCTGGGACGGCAGCAACAGGCTGTCTGAGAACACGCTCCGGAGACCGCGGGGATTGTGGGAGGGAGAGGGACGGTTTGGGAGGTGGGGACGACATCGAGACCGCGGTCGACATCGTTGACATCATCGACGGCCGCTGTGCGCCCATCTCGTACTCATAGTTCAGCTGGCTCTCGACCATCCGCAAGTACTGTTCGACACCGCCCTTGACCATCAGCAAGTCGCCCGTCTCGTTCGCCTCTACGTCGAACGCAGACACGTCTACACCGACGGTTAGTGGTGGTTGAATAGGCGGGCGCGAGTTAAGTACACGCTTCCACCGCCCAAGACGGCCGATGGTATTGACGAACACCCGGGAAATGGTGTTGTGCGGAAAGGGCGACAGCGCGGCGTTCGAGTGGGCCTGTGGTGGGACAGCGCCCGCTCCGGGCCCGTGCGACGGATTCTGCTTGCCGTATTGAAGGACGGCCATATGGAGGGGCTGCCGCATCATGACGAGGTCGAGCGCGTTCGTCGGGCTTCCATCGACGGAGGCGAGAGAGAAATCGCTCCGTGTCGTCACGCCCCCGTCGAAGTCGAAATCGATGTCAAAGTCCTCTGGGTCGTTGAACGAACGCGCTTGAGAGTCTATTGACGGGCGAGGGATGTGGTCGGAAAAGGCCGAGAAGTGAGGCTCGGCAGAACGCCGCTTGTCTACCGACTTGCGCGACGCCCGGTTGAGTTTGCGGATGTGTGCGTCTTTGCAGTCGAGGATGACCTTCCGCAGCTGCCGCACGATTTTCTAGAAGAGGGGTGAGCACGGCATCGAAGCGGCCGACCAAATAACGCACCAGCGCATCTCTGTGCTTCTGCAGGATTGGATCCCGTCTGAGCGAGTTCAGCCAGTCCGCGAACAGCAGCCGAAGCTCCCGGTTCGGTACAAAGTCAACATCGAAGAACGTCAGCAGCCAGTACCGTATCGCCGTAAATGTCCGCACGCGCACAATCCTAGCAGTCTTTTCAACCTTTTCCGCGTCGTCCCGGCAGTTGGTGCTCTCGCCCAGTGCCCAGTGGAACCGGCAGATGAGAAGATGTCCGAGATCGACTGCAGAGACGTATGTTCGGTAGGTGAGGAAGAAAATCAGCAACTCATCGTAGTTGAGGTCGCTCGTGAGCTGCGCGATCCACCGCTCGATCGTTGCGGCCACAAGCATCCGCTTACTCTCCTTCGGCGGTTGGACGCGTTGCGGCGCGGGTATCTGGAGCGGTTCGAAAGGCTGCATAGTGTACATGTTCGCAATGGTGTGATGTCGCTCCCTGCGTCGGCGTGGGGCGGCTGAATTCGGGTGCGAAGACGGATCTGTCGCGCTGGAAGGTGTATCGTCGTACGCGTCGCGCTCCGTGTCGACCTCGCCCCAGATGACGAACCGTGGATCATCGCGCGGAGTCGCACCCTCGTCAGCGCGAAGCGATAACCGCACTGTTGTCTCATTGAATGACGATTCGATCTTGTCCAGTGACGGCAAACCGCGATACGTCTGCAATACGTCAAAGAGCGCGGTCGAGTATCGAGAAGGCAGCGTTGTCGCGGCAAGGTTCACAGCCGTGGGAGTCGACGGCTCGGAGATCTTGATCGGAGGCACAGGGGAGGAGGGGGGAGGCGTGTCCCGACGCAGGTCCTCGTCGGAGTTGGAGGTTCCGGTGAGGGACAGTTTGGACATACGCGAGACACGGGGCAGGTAATCCGCCCGAGCAGTGAGTCCAGACTCGAACGACTGCATCTCACGGATGACTGGAGGCGACGCAAGATGGGATACCGAGCGCCACGACGGAGGGTCGAATGTAACCCCAAGCCCAAACGGATACGACATGTCCTCGCGCGCCTTGCTTGGCGTGCTGGGCGATACGGAGGAAGGAGGCTGGTGCCTGAAGGGCGCGGAGGACGAGCTCGACGCGAATGGCGATCCTGGCTGCGGGCTCCATGCCATCGCGTCCGCGAAAAAGTCGTTCACTGGTGCGCGCGGTCGGGGGAAATCCGTGTTCAGCGGGCTCGGTGGCGCAAACGCGTCCGCGCTCGACACACTGTGCGCGTGTGGGCGTCCAGTAGGTGGCGCGCTAGGAAGGGGAGACGCGCCATCTGCAGAGGAGATTCCGTTGGGGATCGAGCGCGTCTTGCGGAGGCGTTTCGTGGGTGGCGATCGTGACGCGTCGAATACGGTACTAGGGATGGCCATGGGACCGACGCCAGCCGACTTGAATACGCCTGTGGGGAGGAAAGTGTGCACCGACATACGTGAACGGCGTTTGTGGGGCGGGACGTTGCCGTTAGTGCTGCCCGGACTGAGGATGGGGTGGGACGGAGGGGAGGAGGATGTTGACGCGACGTGCTGGGTCACGGTGCGGTCTTCGGCGTCTTGCCCGGACGCAGCGGGGGCGGTCGCCTTGCGGTGTCTTATTACACAAAGACGCGCACGGAAGCATATCAGCAGAGAGGCATGGACAGACGGATGGAGGAAGGGAAACAATGGGTGACGACCAAAACAGTGAGAGTGACTCTCACTGAGACAAACGACTCCCACTCAGAGCAATGCCTCCGGCATATCCCGAGTATATAGCTGTCAGCCACGCATCACAGACAAGCTCATGTGGCTCGTCTCTTGGTGCGTGTCATGCAGTCGGACTCGATGTGAAGACTTGATATAAACCAACGAAGACACTAGCCATCTGGACGCGGTTAGATGTAGTCCAGCGAGCAGGTCAGGTCGGCCGTAATTAGCTTCTCGCGGTGGGGAAGACGTTGTGGTCGACGCTCGTAACGCGTCGCGCCACACGTGCTGGACCTTGCGCGCGACGAGCCCGAGGTATGTCTACAGACATGCGCGGAGCCACTGTTCTGTGGGACAGAGCACCCAGTCTTCGTACTCGACGAGCGCAACGCAACACGTCGTGATCGCGGCAACATGACGCGTGCGCGATCTGACCACATTGTTTCTTGGCTCAGTGACTCTCACTGTTGCCACTCGCCCTCAGTGGGAGTCGTTGGTCCCAGTGAGAGTCACTCTCACAGATCTGGTATATACTCGGAAACAATAGAGGTGGCGGAGGGGCTTACCCGAGCCTATACATCTGCTTGCCATGCTGGTTCACGAACGCGGTGATCACATAGGGGGAGCGAATGTCCTTGCCTACGCCGAGAGAGTGGTCGTATCGCCGCTTGAGCTCCCTGGCAGCAGCGCCGGAGGAGGTCTCCACGAAGCTACCGTCCGCTGTTGAGATTCAGGAACGGATACGATGGCAGACGCGAAAACAAAAGACGCACGCGCGATGGAAATGTCGGCATTAGCAATATCAGGCGGTAGCGGCTCGAAGAGGGAGCCTTCCGCGCCGTCTGAGGGGACGAACAAGACATTCGAGTTGGACGAGACTGCGGGACGTGGTAGAGCGGTAGGCGGGGAAGAGGGGGTGGCTGCGGGCGGGGAAGTGGAAGGGGGCGGATGCGAGTCTATGGCCCCCGCTTGGAGGATGTCGTTACTGTCGTTATCGTGCGTAGCGGCCATGTCTTGAGTGCTGGAGGGTGTTGTAGGCTACGAGCAGAGCATCGTCCTGGTGTCGCTCGTCGTCGTCGGGAGAGGTGAACAAGGGGAGAGACAGAAAGAGTCAGAGCCCGTTTCTCGCGCGAACGCGACGATTGGCCTTGCCCAAATCCGTACATCGCCTCCTCCCTCCTCCTCTTCTTCTCCCTCTCATCATCAGAACATCCTGCATTCACTCAATCTACTCGCACATGATTGCCGACCTCTGTCAACAAATGCCCCATGAGCTTGACAGTCCAAACACTACTCAGACGGCTATCAGACGCTGGCGCGATTGAAGCTCGTTCATCATTCAGAACGCGTAGATCCACCGTCACTCGATACATCCCGTTCACAACAGTCTGAATGGGCTAAAAAATGGTCTCTCGAGGGTGAAAACAGCTCTTAGCCTACCATGGGGCATATAATTCAGCCTTCGGAGACTTTGTACGTTCACTGCTACCTAATGAAGCCTCTATACACACGCGGTGAGCACTATATGTATGTCGTTCTCGGTACCGACGACTAAAATATCTTTACGTGTGACCCCGAGCTCACAGACGCACACAGATAATTTCAAAGCGTCCAGTAGCATTCACTAGCACCAACGTATGCGCGTGAGTATGTCAAGAGTGAGTATTCGGCCTGTGCGTGGCATTGACTAAATCAACTTACATAGGTCTCTTTAGACTGTCAACCGTAGGTTTCGCTGCTCGAGCGGTCGAAAGTGGTTTGGAGTGACCATGAGCCCGTCTGGCATGTATATGGCCCCCAGAACCTGTGGATAGCGGTACTGTTTAAGCGATTGCTAAACATTTGGGTATACCCTAACGTTCAATCGACGTACGAACTCGGCCACATGAAGCGTGTTGCGTGCGAATGCGTAGATTTCCTGTGAGATGTTTATTGCTTGCGATCCGATCCGATGAGCATTACACCGAACAGCAATCTGGTCTCTCGCCCACTAGCTATCTCTGTGATCACCCCACCCCACCCCACCCCTCTCCCCCCTCTCTCCCCCACCAAGCAGGACTGCTACAACAATATGGAATCACTGTGTTCAATAACACCCTGCAGAGTACAGCCACCGCACCGACACATCTCTTCCTCCTCCCATCATACACAGCTCAAGCAGTCACGTTTGGCTCACGGTGTTCTCCAGCCCGACGATGTCGCTGAGCAAGCACGGCAATAGATTTACAGATTGATGCATGGCGAGTTGCTCCTGCCACATGGGCAGAGCGTGGGCTCTACGCTCGGCCGCCGTGCCGGCTAGTGCGAAGCAAGTTGGACATCTTGGCACTTGCATGGAATACGAGATTACTGCCGCACGTATCAATAGCAAATACCTCCCGTGTATCCGTCAGCTTGATAGCGACGCTTTGAGGTCTGTCTCGCACTCTTTTCCATCTTGACCACCCCTTCTCTTGAACGTGTTCGTCCACTACCAGTCGGTTCTCATTGTCAAGTCAACATGGTAAGCTCTATGTCTCTCACAATATTCATTCATGTTGCTGATGCGTCCTTTAAGCATGTGCTCTGCGCAGACTATTTCCCAGTTCTGCGGGAAGGCGGATTAATACAGAGGCGTGTGCCCTAGAACCGCTGCTCCCTGAGAGGATCCATGCTAATCATTCGCGGGCAGTCCTTCCGAGGAGAGTGGATGTACCTGTGTGGTGCGTCGGATTTTCTCGTAGTACCCTTCTACCGTTTTCTGAGATCTACGTGAATCCACGAAGTTCTGTACAGATCCCTCAGGCCGTGTGGATCTGTCATGGACGGGAATCGCCGACAGCCCCGGCACGATGGAGGTCGTTGTCCACAAGTCAGATCCACACTATCGCCTCTACGAAGACTGTCTCGCCTATTTGAAAACGGAGTATCCAGTCGACTCACTCACCTGCTCGCTGCCGAACGACATCGTCGATCAACCTGGTCTTGCCCACCTGCACCCGTCCTTCGGGACGCTCGTCAACCTCCTCGCAGACAGATATCCCAAACCAGATTTGGACAACCTGCCCGCGGGTG